GGAAGGACTTTGTCATTTGCTGATGACATTTTGATTTATCGACGAGGGAGTGATAGACAGGAGATCGCCAGCACAATGCACAAAGAACTCGATCGAATTGCCGCCTGGTGTGATGGTTCCAATGCCTATGTCAATCCTTCGAAGGCATCAGTGTCATGGTTCTCTTTGAACAATCACATTGTCAAGTCGGACTTACCAGAAGTGAAAATGCGTGATAAGGTATTGATCAGAACCAACGTTATGACGTTTCTCGGGGTGAGGTTCGATCGCAGCTTGTCATTCAGGGAACACGTTGACCATGTAATAACAAAAGCACGCAAAGGTCTATCTGCAATGAGGATTATGGCTGCTTCCAATATCGAGCAGAGACTACTAATACTTCTATTCTACGGTCTGGTCCTTTCACCCATTGAATACGCTCTGGCCATCCTCACTGTCAGTGCTACCCAGATTGAACGACTCGAAAAGGTGCAAAATGAAGCCATGCGCATTATTTTGGGATGTACGAGAGACACATCCTGTGGAGCAATGAGGTATCTACTTGACTTTCCAACAATGAACCAAAGGATCAGGATGTGGAGGACTCGGGCATACCTCAAAATATGTGCTGATAAGAAACACCCACTGCATCAAGCGCTTTTTAGTGAAAAGGGCGACAGACTAAAGAGGGGAAAATCGTGGCTAGGTCGGGCAGAAGATGTTATTAGGCAAATATGCAGCCTAACCGACATCATACCTGGTGCAGAATGGATACCTGTGCCTCAGGCGTTTATTTGTACATTTTCCTGTATTGTCACACTCAACAGGCGATGTAAAGAAGAGAATCCTGTTGCTGTTAATGCAGAGGTCAACGCTCTCATCAGTGAAAATTCAGACGAAGCAGATGCAATAATCTATACAGACGGATCCGTTATACGCCAAAGAAGAAGCGCATGGGCATTTACAGCACGCTCAGCGGGCAAAACAGTCAAAGAAGCCAACGGCGCCTTCTCCATGACAACCAGCAGCATGACGATGGAGGTGATGGCAGTGACGCAAGCGTTTGCCTGGCTTGAAACACAAAAATACACCTGCATATGTATACTCAGTGATTCAATGAGTATGATCCGGAGGGTTCAGGCAGGTTCAGTGCGAAGACAATGGCTTGAATCAATTCAGAAGTCCACTGTGCGTGGAGTCACCTTTATTTTTGTTCCGGGACACGCAGGCGTTGATGGAAATGAAAGAGCTGACAGGTTGGCTGGATCCGCTATCACTACCGACGGTCGGCCTATGGATCATGATGATATTATCAATGCCCTCAGAGAAATGGGAAGGATAGAGGACTTTGGTGGCAGTGAATCCACATCACTCGCCAGAATGGCAGACTTGGGAATTAAGATCGGCACAGCAAAAAAAAAACGAGACGCACACCAGACACGTCAGAAGACTTGTTAATCAACATAGAACTGGTACTATTAGCCATCGGACGTTGGGATTCATACTGAGGGGAGGATCTGAGCACCTATGGGCATGTCCGGAGTGCAATGATGATAACCCAACTAACTAACTAACTAACTAACTAACTAACTAACTAACTAACTAATGAAGCAGAGACTTCCTGAAAATCTAGATGTTTTGAAAAATATTTCACTTTTTTCTGTGAGCAACATACTTCAGCCAATAAAGGACATACGTAAATATTGTAAAGTTATGAAATTTTTAGGGGCTACTGATAATAGTGTCGCGAAAGCAGAATATCAGTTAACCAAAATAAAGTTAGCTAAATGGACAAACAAAACAGAAACTAAAGCGTTTTGGAGTGAAGTGAGACAATTTAAAGATGCCTCATCAAACAGTCCATTCTGTAAGCTCTTTAAAGTCTGGTAGTCTGGTACATGTCTGCCACGATACTACCCCACTCAAATGCTGACGTAGAAAGAGTTTTCAGTGCTAGGAATTATATCAAATCTAACCTAAAAAACAGGATGAAATTTGACCTCTTAAATGCTATCGTGCCATTAAAATTCGGCCTGATGAGACTAGAGAAATAAGCCTACTGTTCCACTTATAAAGAAATTTGAACAGCTAAAGCATACCAGGGTCATTTTGGATCTGAAGCTTCAACTTCATTATCCAAGCTAAGTTTATCCTGTGGATCTTGTGAGGCAGACATCAGTGAAGGTGAGAACATGATTATGTAGGGTAAGTCATAACAAAAGCTATGTAATTTTTGACTTTTTTAATTTGGATGTTTTTTCTAGATCTTTTTCACGCAGATTTAGATCTTTTTAGATATTTTTTGACACCGTTTTGGATATTTTTTGTCAAAGAAAAGTGGCAATACTGCCAAAAGTTTGTATTTTTGTTTAACCATCTCGCTGTGAAGGAAGAAAGTAATGTTTGAAGTTTTGTTTCGTGTGACCTTGTTTTGGTTGGAAATTAGCTACTATGGGTGATGTAGGTGAGACTCATTGGTTGTTAAGTTCAAGTTTAATAATACCATCAGTCTGAACACAACCCAAAATCAAATGAGATCGAGACCAGAAAACGTCACCACAAATATAGCTGAAAGGAAAGTGAGCAGAAATGTGAGCGGACCTAGCTGAAAGTGGTCAACGAAAGAGAATTTGAATTTGAATACCATCAGTCGTTCAAAACTTATCCCTAAGCAAACTGGCCAGTTTCAAATGACAAATAAATTTGTAGTTAGATAACTTAGTAGTAAATAGTAACAGTTTAAAACTTTCACAGAAATTTAGATCAAAGTCCCGTTCATCCGATCGATTGTGATTGTATATATCTATAATAGCAGCATCTGTTGTATTTTCAAATGTATTATTTTACTATTGTGTAAATTTACAGCTTCCAAACAGCTATAACACTATATCCTCACTTGTACTGTTTAAAACATTTTCACACCGCCAAGGCAACTTATTTATTAAATTTTGAATTTAGTATAACTATAAGATAAGTACTATAACTAGCCTCGATTAAATTTTAATGTCTGATATAAATAATCGTAGTTGTACCATATCTAAAATATCAGAATATACTCTGAAAACTTATTAAATACTTTTTATCAGTTATATATAACGCTTAGGATAACGGGGATTTTTTTTCAAATTATCACTACTAGTACTAGTTACTAGTACCACTTATAGTCCTCCTACCTACTTGTCTGTCACTCATTTCTGCGTGAAAATAGAATCATCAAAGATGTAGAGTTCAATGGTGAGGGTGATCGACTTCTTTCCTCACATGCTTGACCGTTCCTACTTGACATTTTGCTAGTGAGCTAGTGTTGCCATTTGTTGAGACAGCTTTCTCACAAGGTGCCTGTTGATTGAAAAGTGAAGTACAAGAAAATAACAAAATAATCATTCAAGCATTGACACTAAACGTTGCAGGAGCAAACATTGGAACATAGGGTACGATGCAAATCAAAATACTAATAAGCCAAGCAACCTGTTGAAAATCATTATGTATATCATAATGTGAGTATCAAAATTATCTGAAAAGTAATACTTTTAACATATGTGTAATAAAAAGTATGAATCAGATAGACATATAATTGTCCCAGTTGTAACCAGAAGGATTAGGGAGTATATCTTTGGTACAAGTTTTGTTCTTGTCACCCTTCTGTCTTTCCAGATGCAGTTTCAGGATCATTATTGCCATCACATGAATTTAAGATGCTTATCTTCACAAAGGGATCCATTATATGAAGATGCGAGAGTGCATGGGCATTCACAGCTCACTCTTCAGGCAGAACAGTCCTGCAAACAAGTTATACCTTCTCTATGACTACCTGAAGCATGACAGTGGAGGTGATGGCGGTGACTGACACAAGCTTTAATGTGGCTGGAATCAAAGGATAATGCCCGCATGAGTGTTTGAGGGATTCTGTGAGCATGGTTCAGAGGGTCAAGGCAGTTTTGTATGCAGTCAGGCGATTGAATCATTGCAAAACTCCACTGTGTGTGAAGTTACCTTAATTTTGTCTCAGGGTATTTGGAAATGAAAGAGCTGATAGTTCTACCTTAGTTGCAGATGACTGGCATGTGGATCGTGCTGGCATCGTTGATGCTCTTGAAGCAATAGGACAATCAGAGGATTTTTGGAGCAGAGTGTGCACATCACTGCTAAGAATGCGAGAATTGAGAGCAAAGATTGGCACAGCCAAGCAGGAGAGGCACACTGGACTTACAAGGAGTCTTGTTAATCATCATAGGACTGGCACTATTAACCATTGGACGCTGATGTATATGTTGAAGGGGTGAATCTAGGCATTTATGGATGTGTCCGGAATGCTGAGAAGATAACCCAACTCAAAAATCATCTCAGAGGATGACCTTTGGGTCTCCATTCTCCTAGACATCTTCGAAAGACTGAAAAATTACTGCTGCCGACTCTCACGGTAATGGTCAGTGTCCATTTTCTGTATTAACATTTCAAACAACCGGGACTCTAACAGTAGCTTTAGTAGTTAAGTTGACAAAAATTACAATGGGTTTAAATGGCAGCCAAAAACGCAAATAAAGGCCGAGTACATAATGACATGCCTGTGTGTCTGTAAAGAGTACTAGAAGAAACATTTCTAACATTTGATTGTTGTGGTGTTAAATTCTTCATTAAATTTCCCATCTTCTGTGAGTGTTATTCCAGATATTTAAACTCTGATGCCTGTTTAATACAGTTGCACTCTACTACTAAATTTAAATCCTACTTCTTTCTATTGTCATTACTTGTTGTAAGAGGGGAACTAGCCATACCATTACTTGGTTTCTCTGACTGCATTAGATAGTTATTTCTTCATCCAATTTGCCATCTTTATTGAATGTTGTTTCTTGATATCTGATGCTTGTTTAATATCTTTTAGTTTTTAAAACTCCACTGCTATATTTAAATTCTGCTTCGTCCCTTCTGTGTCATTACTTTGATTTTTCTGGGTAATCTCACATTATATTATTTATTCATTAGAATATCTAATATTAATTTTTTTGTTTACTAAATTAAAGGTGAAGCTGTGTGGTTTGTGACTGTGGCTTTATTGTGGGGGGCAACAAATCCACTGCTGAAGCTTCACAGTGTGGGTGTGGAGAACATTAAACGTGATGGCAAGATTGGACAGTTGATTGCAGAATGTGCTTTCCTCTTTTTGAACTGGAAGGTTAGTTTATTGCAAACATGGTGCGACTTATTTCATTTCTCAACTGTGCCTCTGAGACAGTATGTGTTCATATACTATGCACTGTTGCTGAATGTAGTTACAATACTTAGGTTAATATTAATTGTTTGTCCATCTTCTTTACATGATTTTATATTATTTATCCATCTTCTTCAACACCAAATTCTGTATTATCCATCCATTCATCTTCGTCAACACCAGGTTCTGTATTATTCATCCATTTTCATCAACACCAAGTTCTGTATTACCCATCCATTCATCTTCGTCAACACCAAATTATGTATTATTCATCCATTCCTCTTCGTCAACAGCAAATTCTGTATTATTCATCCATTCATCCTCGTTAACACCAAGTTCTGTATTATTCATCCATCTTCGTCAACACCAGTTCTGTATTATCTTTCCATTTTTATCAACACCAAATTCTGTATTATTCATCCATTCATATTCTTCAAGACCAATTTCTGTATTATCCATCCATCTTTGTCAACACCAAGTTCTGTATTATCCATCCATCTTTGTCAACAACAAATTCTGTATTATCCATCCATCTTGTTCCACATAAAGTTCTGAATTATCCATCCATCTTGTTCCACATCAAGTTCTGTATTATCCATCCATCTTTGTCAATACCAAGTTCTGTATTATCCATCCATCTTGTTCCACATCAAGTTCTGTATTATCCATCCATCTTCTTCCACATCAAGTTCCGTATTTTCCATCCATCTTCTTCAACACCAATTTCTGTATTATCCATCCATATTCGTCAATACCAAGTTCTGTATTATCCATCCATCTTCATCAATACCAAGTTCTGTATTATCCATCCATCTTCTTCCACATCAAGTTCTGTATTTTCCATCCATCTTCTTTAACACCAATTTCTGTATTATCCATCCATCTTCGTCAATACCAAGTTCTGTATTATCCATCCATCTTCTTCCACATCAAGTTCTGTATTATCCATCTGTCTTCATCAACAGCAGGTTCTAAATTAACTATCTTCTTCTGCAATTATCAGTTCTCTGTTATCCATTTATCTACCTCAGCACTTAGTTCTATATTATCCAGCATAGCCAAACAGGAGAGACACATTAGACTTACTTCAGCATTTGATCTTTTTAGGTCACTCTACTTCTGGACTTTGTCTTGTTTAGAACTTGAGTTGTTTGCACGTCTGTTTTACTGATCTGACTCATTTGTATGTAAATTGTTGGTTCCTTGCCTCTCAGGCCGATGCACTCTGACTTTGAGGAAACAACCTAATTAGTCACTGCAAATGACATGCTTGTTTGGGAGGCAGCTGGACTATTTGTTTGTTCCCTGAATGTAATCCTGGAGCCAACACGGGAATTCATGTTAACTCATGTTGTGAACATTTACCTGTCCGAAAATAGTCTTTGTCCCCTGAATAAATAAGAGAAGAAAAATATTATTTGCATTTTTTGCACTTAAAATGTTTTTGTAAATATTTTCTGTTTCTACTTTCTGTTTCCTCCCACTTTTAATGAGTAGATTTTCCAGCTTTACTGCAGTATATCTACATTGTCTCTTTCTATCAAGTACAAAGCAGTGTACTTGAAATTTAATACTTATTTGCTCGGATAGGATACATCAGCATTTATTTACACCTTATACCAGCATTTCCAACTATTTTGACTTGCAGAACCCTTTGTAAAATCACATTTCTTTGGTGCAGTGCATTTTCTACATTTTTGTTGATGATTTGTTTCATTAATTTTTTTTCCTAAGAAGTGCACATGAGCCCTTAGGGCTCCATGGAGCACCGACTAGGAATGGCTAAATGGATTAATCCACTTTGACTTGTCATTATGTGCTAGTCAATCTGCTAAACATCTCTGAACTCTAAAGGCAGACATATCCTTGACCCAAGAACCCACCCCAGTTAAGGTTTTCCTATAAGTATGTTTTAAATAAGTTTAGATTGCAAGTAAACAAAATGTGACCAATTTTTGCACCTTGAGTGAAATTTGGTTTATGGTGCTAGGCTAACATTGTATAGACCAGACCAGTCAGCATTTGACGAGCATCATGACCAATATCACAGTAACTGCCATTACTTTCCAGAACAGTTCAGGCTACCATGTTGAAGCTAGGTCGACCCGGAAGTCTGGGTCAGTTTTTACAATCCCTGTCATGATAAAGATTTGAACAAATGTCAGGCAGGCAAATACAGTTCAGTTTATAAGAATAGTTTAAGTGTTTTGCTTTCACTATCTAGTTAAAATTTATTTTGCTTTCAGTATCTGCTGTCATTTCTAGCCAACCAGATGGCTTCTGTGCTGTATTACATCACCTTGTCATCGGCAGGTAAGTACCATTTCTGTACATTGGTTAAACTGCTTATAAACACTAAAACATGGTGCCTGATGCTGAGATATGATTGGGAGGTGTTGTGGAAGTTAGAATTGGTTTAACCACGTGTAGGTTATGGGACCCATTTGGAAAAAAGGGGATAGACCCACTGCCCCCTTACAAGCACACTATACTAGGGAAATAATAAGGAGTTTGTGCTGAAATTGGATATGTTGGGCTGAACGGTGCAGATATTGCAGCCTAGTTGAAAACCACAACACAAAATGCCAACTGTTATTTTAAGATCAAACCCAGAAAAAAATTAAGAAATGACTAATCTACTATCATCTGTATTGTTGTCAGTATACCACATAGAGCATATTAACTGTTAGAACTTGGCAGTATACCACATAGAGGATATTGTAATTAATTAGTCTTTGACTGTTAAAACTTGGCAGTATACCACATAGAGGATATTGTAATTAGTTAGTCTTTGACTGTTAAAACTTGGCAGTATCCCACATAGAGGATATTGTAATTAGTTAGTCTTTGACTGTTAAAACTTGGCAGTATCCCACAAACAGGATATTGTAATTAATTAGTCTTTGACTGTTAGAACTTGGCAGTATACCACATAGAGGATATTGTAATTAGTTAATCTTTAACTGTTAAAACTTGGCAGTAACCCTGATAGAGGATATTGTAATTAGTTAGTCTTTGACTGTTAAAACTTGACAGTATCCCACATACAGGATATTGTAATTAGTTAGTCTTTGACTGTTAAAACTTGGCAGTATTTCACATACAGGGTATTGTAATTAATTAGTCTTTGACTGTTAGAATTTGGCAATATCCCACATAAGTTAGCATTTGACTGTTAGAACTTGGCAGTATCCCACATAAGTTAGCATTTGACTGTTAGAACTTGGCAGTATCCCACATAGGTTAGCATTTGACTGTTAGAACTTTGCAGTATCTCACATAAGTTAGCATTTGACTGATAGAACTTTGCAGTATCTCACATAAGTTAGCATTTGACTGTTAGAACTTAGCAGTATCTCACATAAGTTAGCATTTGACTTTTAGAACTTGGCAGTATCCCACATAAGTTAGCATTTGACTGTTAGAACTTGGCAGTATCCCACATAGGTTAGCATTTGACTGTTAGAACTTGGCAGTATCCCACATAGGTTAGCATTTGACTGATAGAACTTGGCAGTATCTCACATAAGTTAGCATTTGACTGTTAGAACTTGGCAGTATCTCACATAAGTTAGCATTTGACTGTTAGAACTTGGCAGTATCTGTTATAGAGGATATTGTAATTAATTAGCCTTTGACCTTTAGAACGCTTGTTCTCGTGTGTTACTAGAGCACACAGGGGAAGCAAAAAATAATATTGCAGTAACAAGTTGTCTCTGTGGCTTAGAGGTTAGTGAATGTGTTTAACAATGTCTTGATCATCCATCACTAGGGCTCAATTTCCATAGTCATGTTAAAAGACAGTATTTGTGGGTTCCGGAGCCCTGTTATAGGGAAAACAAGAATAGACCCACTGCCTAACCAAAAGCATGTTGTAAGAGTCAACTAATTGGGAGCTTCCTTTGAAGTCAGAGTGCATTTGCCTGAGAGGCAAAGAACCAACAGTCTTCATACAAATGCGTCAGATTTGTCAAACGGATGCACATGCAACACTTAGGTTTTGGAACAGGACTGCAGTCCAGAAGTGGATGAACAACCAGAACTTTCCACCAGAGTTTACAGCTGGTGAACGCAAAGAAGAAAAAGAAGAAGTATATGAGAGTTACAGCGTGGAAGAGATTGGGTTCTCAAAACATAATTTTCCCAAGACAGCAGTGGGTGCTCTGTAGGCAGCCCTTACTGTGGAGATGGCACATAGAAGAAACCAGTCAATATAGATGACACTCAACACTCAGGGGAATAAGATAGGTGGAATGGTATTTATACTCTTACTGTCATCATCAACATGAGAACTCGTTTTGCCTTGTTGGCAACAAAGAAAGGTGAGGGAGTGGGAGTGTCCAGAGTGTGGTGGTGTTAATTCTTGATTAATTCCAGCATTCATTGAATTCCTTAAACATTTGATACAGCAGTCTAGGTTTTGTTTTCAATGACAATTTATTGTAAAGTGTGCATTCCTTTTGCAGATGTGACTCTAGCAGTTCCTATAACTAATTCCCTGACTTTTATCTTCACTGCTTTGTCATCCCGTCTTTTAGGAGAGAAGCATTTAACATGGGGTGAGATTATTTTTTGTTTTCTTTATATGTCTACAGTTGTAACTTTATTGACCTGTGCTTCTGTGTAATGATGTTTGTTTATTGTTTTATAAGGAGGTTTGAAACTTGAATCAACATTTTAAATAATTGTATACACACTTGTCATATCTGGTCAAAACCAAACACACATTCTTACTAGCTCATCATTTTATAGTGTAATACAGAGGTCTGGCCATAAAACAGTCATCATTATCATCATCAAGTACCTTGCTGACTGGTAGGGGCGACTGTGGCTTTCCACAACCTGTGATTTTCAACAGCATGTAACATTTCATGTGCTGCAACCCCCTCATGCCATGCCAGGACAAAAGGCTGTCAAGTATCTTCTCACATTGTCTTTCTCTATCTCTCTTTCCACAATTTTTTCTAGATTTCCAGTGGTTACTTCATGTTCCAATTTCCTTCCAAAACGGAACACTTATGGGTTGCTACCTATGTGCCATGATGTTGATTAGCTGTTCAAACTTCATTCTATCTGTACTCCCTTTTTTGTGTGTGCTCTGAAATGTTCTTAAACATTTGCTAATCCTTATAGCTGCTGTCAGCTGCCAGTTGTGTTGTTTATTTTTCACAGATCTTTTCTGTCAGTTTTAAATTGTGTTCTGATGTTTTGATCTTTTGTTAATGTTTCACACAGTGAAAGGCTTTTATATATCAAACAACCAATCTGTCATAAACAGTAAATCAGTCTTTCAGCAAACAGTCACTCTCTACAAAGAAGTTGTCGAGATGTGTACCGCACTCTCTGAAAGGCTGTGGGTTCACTTCATGGACTGCATCGTTCAGTTCCTGAGTACAGTTTTTACAGTGATCCCTGAGATTCGTGCTGAGTTGTGTATTGTACGATTCTTTTTTGGCATACTGCATGTCATTCTGCTGAGGCAGATCCAGCCATGTAGGATAAAACTCCATGCAGTGTAGTTGATCCAATTTTTCACAGGAAAACCTCTATTAATGCTATTTTTGAGTAACTATTGCCACCCTCTATCCTTGAGTCTTATCATCAACAATCTGTCTGTCAGTGATCACAAATCCTTGAGTCTTATCATCAACAATCCATCCATCAATGATCACAAATCCTTGAGTCTTATCATCAACAATCCATGCGTCAATAATCACAAATCCTTGAGTCTTATCATCAACAATCCATGCGTCAATAATCACAAATCCTTGAGTCTTATTATCAACAATCCATCCGTCAATGATCACAAATCCTTGAGTCTTATCATCAACAATCCATCCATCAATGATCACAAATCTTTGAGTTTTATCATCAACAATCCATCCGTCAATGATCACAAATCTTTGAGTCTTATCATCAACAATCCATCCGTCAATGATCACAAATCTTTGAGTCTTATCATCAACAATCCATCTGTCAATAATCACAAATCCTAGAGTCTTAACAACAGTCCATTTATCAGTGATCAGCTGATTGGTCTTTACAAATATAAGTCAGCATCAGATGCCTGATGTGCCACTGGCCTGAAAAGGGTCCTACACTTTACTTATTCTACGCCCGTGTTCTTCAGCCAGTGGCCCATGACCTGGGCTGTGGTCAAGTTCATATGGGCCACTGACATTGCCTAATCATGTTGCCTGCCTAATCATGTAAATGGGTTAGGGTTGGTAGTTATTCTCTTCAAGGATTGCAGTTTCTAGGATTACTACCTTAAGGATGAAAGTAAATCAGCATGTAAAAATCCTGGAAACACAGCTCAACCACATAGATTTTGTCATCTCTAAGCAGCTGCATGTGCCAACTGTAATTGTGTGAGATGGAATTAAATAATAAAATTACTGATTTCTATGCATGTTTTTATCTCTGTTAGGTGAGCTGTCAAATGGGCCACGAAAAAAGAGTAAAAGGGTGTGAAAAAGATCAGGGAAACTGTTTTAAACCATAGTGTTATCAAGTTGGGGACCTGGGAGTTTCTTGTCACTTGTCTTTCATGGAAAAGCCTCTGCTATCTCTTTTCATGAACATTCAGCTTTAACTGTCTGTGCATAAACTATGTCATCCTCAGCAGATTATATCCTAAAATGTAAACCTATGTCTGGCAAGTCACTTCAGTGTGCTGATAAAGCATTTGCACTGTTCCAGTACCCCCCCCCCCCCCCCCCCCCCCCCCCCCCCCCCCAACAAAAAAGAAAAGAAGGAAAAACCCGTCTTTAGGTTACATTAAATTATGGAAACCTGAAAGTGCACATATAGCCTGTGTCCATGACTGAAAGTGTAAACAGATCTTCTAAACTGAGAAACAGTAGCCTCTCTTCATGACTCAAAGTGTAAATAGAGCTAAAAAACTAAGTAGCCTCTCTCCATGACTGAAAGTGTAAACAGATCTTCTAAACTAAGAAACAGTAGCCTCTGTCTATGACTGAAAGTGTAAACAGAGCTTCTAAATTAAACAGTAGCTGAAAGTGTAAACAGAGCTTCTAAACTAAGAAACAGTAGCCTCTGTCTATGACTGAAAGTGTAAACAGAGCTTCTAAATTAAACAGTAGCTGAAAGTGTAAACAGAGCTTCTAAACTAAGAAACAGTAGCCCCTGTCCATGACTGAAAGTGTAAACAGAGCTAAAAAAAAAACTAAGAAACCGTAGCCTCTCTCTATGACTGAAAGTGTAAATAGAGCTAAAAACTAAGAAAAAGTAGCCTCTCTCCATGACTGAAAGGTAAATAGAGCTAAAAAACTAAGAAAAAAGTAGCCTCTCTCCATGACTAAAAGTAAAAACAGATCGTCTAAACTAAGTAACAGTAGCCTCTGTCCATGACTGAAAGTGTAAACAGGGCTTCTAAATTAAAAAAACAGTAGCTGAAAGTGTAAACAGGGCTTCTAAATTAAGAAACAGTAGCCTCTGTCCATGGCTGAAAGTGTAAACAGAGCTTCTAAACTGAGAAACAGTAGCTGAAAGTGTAAACAGAGCTTCTTAACTGAGAAACAGTAGCTGAAAGTGTAAACAGAGCTTCTTAACAAAGAAAGAGTAGCTGAAAGTGTAAACAGAGCTTCTAAACTGAGAAACAGTAGCTGAAAGTGTTAACAGAGCTTCTAAACTAAGAAACAGTAGCCTCTGTCCATGACTGAAAGTGTAAGCAGAGCTTCTAAATTAAGAAACAGTAGCCTCTCTTCATGACTGAAAGTGTAAGCAGAGCTTCTAAACTAAGAAACAGTAGCCTCTCTTCATGACTGAAAGTGTAAACAGAGCTTCTAAACTAAGAAACAGTAGCCTCTCTTCATGACTGAAAGTGTAAACAGAGCTTCTAAACCAAGAAACAGTAGCCTCTCTTCATGACTGAAAGTGTAAGCAGAGCTTCTAAACCAAGAAACAGTAGCCTCTCTTCATGACTGAAAGTGTAAACAGAGCTTCTAAACCAAGAAACAGTAGCCTCTCTTCATGACTGAAAGTGTAAACAGAGCTTCTAAACTAAGAAACAGTAGCCTCTCTTCATGACTGAAAGTGTAAACAGAGTTTCTAAACTAAGAAACAGTAGCCTCTCTTCATGACTGAAAGTGAAATAGAGTTTCTAAACTAAGAAACAGTAGCTTCCCTTCATGACTGAAAGTGTAAACAGAGTTTCTAAACTAAGAAACAGTAGCCTCTGTCCATGACTGAAAGTGAAATAGTTTCTAAACTAAGAAACAGTAGCTTCCCTTCATGACTGAAAGTGTAAACAGAGTTTCTAAACTAAGAAACAGTAGCCTCTCTTCATGACTGAAAGTGTAAGCAGAGCTTCTAAACCAAGAAACAGTAGCCTCTCTTCATGACTGAAAGTGTAAACAGAGCTTCTAAACCAAGAAACAGTAGCCTCTCTTCATGACTGAAAGTGAAATAGAGTTTCTAAACTAAGAAACAGTAGCTTCCCTTCATGACTGAAAGTGAAATAGAGTTTCTAAACTAAGAAACAGTAGCTTCCCTTCATGACTGAAAGTGAAATAGAGTTTCTAAACTAAGAAACAGTAGCTTCCCTTTATGACTGAAAGTGTAAACAGAGTTTCTAAACTAAGAAACAGTAGCCTCTGTCCATGACTGAAAGTGAAACAGAGCTTCTAAATTAAGAAACAGTAGCCTCTCTTCATGACTGAAAGTGAAACAGAGCTTCTAAACTAAGAAACAGTAGCCTCTCTTCATGACTGAAAGTGTAAACAAAGCTTCTAAACTAAGAAACATATCATTTAACTCTATCAAGAAAATACACCTATTTTTGTCACTTGGACCCGACCTATTATCATATTGACAGATACAAACGAGGATCTGTTACTTTATTTCAGGAATCCCTAATTATAATTTCATGGGTTCAATCAGACATGTGTGAGATCTGCTGCACTTTGATTGTGGTTTATGAGTCATTGTGGTGTGAAACCTCTGATAGCAGGTCTGAGGAAACAAAAGAAAATGTGTTTGCAATGCACAGCAGATTTTATCCAGGAAATAGATATTGAAGTATCTAGCCAGAAACCATGGAAATCAAAAGGAAGTTGAAGACTTTCAATATCACTTTAATAAAATTCTTTCTTTTAGAGATTTAAACCAAACTAATATTTAAACCCGGTGATACATACAGTCAAACAGTGGACTGTGATACACACAGTCAAACAGTGGACTGTGATACATACAGTCAAACAGTGGACTGTGATACACACAGTCAAACAGTGGACTGTGATACATACAGTCAAACAGTGGACTGTGATACACACAGTCAAACAGTGGACTGTGATACATACAGTCAAACAGTGGACTGTGATACACACAGTCAAACAGTGGACTGTGATACATACAGTCAAACAGTGGACTGTGATACATACAGTAAGACAGTGGACTGTGATACATACATGTGATTTTGTATTTCAGCCAATAGATTTATTTTGTATGTGCATAATAAAACACTCATGTAAATTTAAATTCTATAGTAAAATGAGATGTAGTAAAATGTGCCAGGCAATAAATGGCTTAATATACTGTCTGTGTCCTTGTCATTGAAACTAACAAGATATTGTTGTTTGCCAGAGGCTGTTGCCGGCATGATGCTCATTGTGGCTGGAGTCTCTCTGTGTGTGCTGAGTAAAGTGGACGGAGACAATACTTGAGGATGTGCAATACAACTGTTAGCATATTCATCAGTGTCATATGTGAGACTCATTTCCACATTGTCAGCTATGGTGATTGGGACATTTCACGATAAACACTATAAACCAGTGATATAAAAAGAACAGTACAAATAAAAAGGTGCTATTACTTTGCCATTAAATTCTTTTTTTTTTTTTTTCGATTTGTAATAGCGGAGAAACTAATACATAGAGAAAAGTTAATATTAATCTCTTAGTAGGTACTGAAATATGGTGTAAAGCAGCAACTCCTGGCAATGTTCACTTGCTAAATCCTTTTTAGAATCAATTTCTGTGGTGGATCCCCTTAGGTCTGCCTTCCTCTTACAACGTAATGGTGTTTAGAAGTAATTTTGCTAAGCAGATTAAGAGAGGAAGATAGTAGGGGAATTTAAAGTAAAGAGATATCTAAATGGCCTTCTTAGATAAGATTTTGAGTTATTCTTGTAAGTGCAGCCCAAATTTCTATAATTATTCTGCATGCTTTACGTTTATGTTGATAATGGCATGAGCATTGCTCTTTCAGAATTGGCAAACTAAAGAAGAGAAAAAACTTCTTGTACATGTTTGTATCAAACATAAAGTTCATGTTAGCATTAAGCATAAAGTTCATGCTTGCCTCAAGCATAATGTACATTTTTGCATCAAGCATAAAGTACGTGTTAGCATTAAGCATAAAGTTCATGTTTGCATCAAGCATAAAGTTCATGTTTGCATCAAACATAAAGTACATGTTTGCATCAAGCATAAAGTACATGTTTGCATCAAGCGTAAAGTACATGTTTGCATCAAGCATAAAGTACATGTTAGCATCAAGCATAAAGTACATGTTTTAGACTGGGTCGACCTGGGAGCCAAGATCATTCATTAACATTAAAAACAAAAAAAATCTGCCTTGATGAGGGTTTCAGCTTAAAATCTTTGGGTCAGCAGGTGATCATAATGGTGAACTACTAGTAAAAACACAAATGGCTGACATATTCTTTGATTGGTTTGCTATGTCCTTAAAGAGAATGTGCAACTAACTTTTTTCAAACCAGTTTCAAAAGACCGGGTTGATGTCGGAGCTAAAGTGGAAGAAAATAAATCCTGCCACTATTGGGACCGATCCCAGGCCTCTTTCTACCTCTTCCCGGTTTCACAGTGCAAAGATAATGATTATTTGATAGAATAAAAGGCTAAAATATTGATTTTGATAATATTTTAAAACTCTGTTAGTAAAATAGAATAATAAGAACTGCTAGCTCAAATTATAGTATGTGAGATAGTTAGTAATATGCAATTGTATGAACCAGTTGCTTTAATGTGTAAATGTTGCAATGGTTTGTAATATATAATTGAATGAACTGTTTGCTGGAATACTGAAGTGTTGCAACAGTTTGTAATATATAATTGTATTAACTGTTTGCTGGAATGCTGAAGTGTTGCATTAGTTTGTAATATATAATTGTATTAACTGTTTGCTGGAATGCTGAAGTGTTGCATTAGTTTGTAATATATAATTGTATGAACTGTTTGCTGAAGTGTTGCAACAGTTTGTAATATATAATTGAACTGTTTGCTGGAATGCTGAAGTGTTGCAACAGTTTGTAATATATCATTGTATGAACTGTTTGCTGAAGTGTTGCATTAGTTTGTAATATATAATTGTATGAACTGTTTGCTAGAATGCTGAAGTGTTGCAACAGTTTGTAATATATAATTGTATGAACCGTTTTGCTGGAATGCTGAAGTGTTGCATTAGTTTGTAATATATAATTGAATGAACTGTTTGCTGTAATGCTGAAGTGTTGCATTAGTTTGTAATATATAATTGTATGAACTGTTTGCTGTAATGCTGAAGTGTTGCATTAGTTTGTAATATATAAATGTATTAACTGTTTGCTGGAATGCTGAAGTGTTGCAACAGTATGTAAATATAATTTTATGAACTGTTTGCTGAAGTGTTGCAACAGTTTGTAATATATAATTGTATAAACTGTTTGCTGAAGTGTTGCATCTGTTTGTAATTTAGATTTGTGTCAACTGAGATTAAACAACATAAAGAACCTTTTATGCAGTTCTTAAAATTAAGTTAAAGAAACAATTTTTGAGACGACTGTCTCTTCTGTGACAGTTTCTGGATGTGAGTCATAGACTGTTACTGAATCACTGAAAAAAAAAGAGCTTTTGAATTGAAATGCTACAGAACAATTGTCATAATAGCATGGACCGAGAACAAGTAAAACATTGGTATCCTACATGATCTGAACATTGAGGAGAACTGGCTCGTCAACAGATCTCTGTTCTCAAAGTTCAGCTATTTTGTCAGTACTAAACATAATTGTGGTATAGAAAATACGATGATGGAAGGTACAGTTTTCTGAAAAGAAAGCAGATGCCAACTTTTCTGAAGTTAGATATAACACATTGAAGATGCTTTGGTTTAAAAAGCACACAGGGCTGGAGAATTGGCTTGAGATGACTTAAAAGCGTGCCTGGGTGATAATGATGTTCTGTAAAGAATCTGCTAACTGATGATGGATGGTTATCTTGAATGCCGAAGAAGTGCTGCTGCTAATTTTAAATTACAATATTGATAGGATCTGGTATTTTAAATTGTCACACAAAATGGATGTTGTACCAGATTAAAAATATTTCTCTTTGTTGCGTAAAGCATTTATTGTTATTTAACAATAAAATCCCAATTCAGGCAACTACAGACAATCAGTATTGGAGATGGTGTCACCATTTTGTTTAACTACTAACATGTGGTTAAAGTGTAAATGCACTTATGTACAAAAAAAAAGCAAGTCAGGGCTGTCTCTTGGTATATCCCTAATTCCTCTGTATGCCTATCTTAAACATATTATAACACTATCGCCTTAAAGAGTGACAAGATATGTAATCATGCTCAACTTTCATTAGCTGTTGCAGGCTGTCGTCGTTAGTTACTCTAGCTTTCCGAGCACTTTAACAACAGACATCTCAGACATGATATTTCTACTGTCCCCAGGCTCTTGATAATTTGTTCCTGCACATTGCCAGATTCACTAACATAGATGGAAACAGGTTTGACTTTACATTTCAATTTGTCTCTTTCTGACATTCAGTGCAAGTGATTTCTTACTTGCCATCTTCATGTATGTATTCTAAGATTATGCTGCTGTTAAATTTGTCGCTCTTCTATCTCATTTCCACTAAAAGATGGGAATAGAATAAAGTATAGATCACTAATGGTACCAGGAAGCAGGGGCCGACTGACACGAAGATGGACACAGTATATAAGTGACTCCTTGAGTGTGAAAGTGCATGAGGAACTGGCGAGAGACCAAGTTTCATTCAGGCAAACTGTGATGAGAGTGACATTCTGCAAAAGACCTGCTACATGATGATGATAGATCACTAAGTATCATATAGAAATATCAGTGATGCTTTAGAACTTTCGGTTTAGAAATGGTGGTGCCAAGATGGTTTTGTGGTAACAAAGTGCCATTATTACAAATTTGTGTGTGGTGGATAGTTTGTTATTCCTTGAAACTAAGTATTCTGTGGTTTAGGGGTGTTATGATGAAATTGATCCTGTCAAACAGTGGCAGTGGCTGTCATGTCATAATATCGATAATGTAGCTGTACGAACCACGCTGCCATGATAAATATTGGAGTCCACGAGTAAGACCACAGTCTATCCTAGCAAAATAAGGCACTGAAGTCAGAGGCAACCAGCCAGGTGGCCACAGCAATCAGGATACCATGCACAAACGTGATAGCGAATATATCTCTATCTGCTGACCAGTATAAAGCTCACCATGTGACCAGCTCATTTACATGTATGACGTGTTACCTGCCTATGCCTAGTAGAAAGGGTCCAGCCACAAATACTGGAGGTCACCCTCAAATACCTTGTAGAACCAGAAAAGCAGAATATAGAGCTAGTCTAAAAATAATGCGCTGGAACATGGAAGGAGTAAATACTCCAAAATTAGAACTAGATAACACCTTGAACGTAGAGCACATGCATGTATGCTGCCTTCAAGAGACCTACCTCAAAAAGACAGAGGCTACCAGTGTTTCCGATCTGACCGAAAAGACTGGAGAAAAGGTGGAATATTAGCCCTGGTCAAAAATAGTATCCTTGCTTGCCAAATTTAAATATACATGGAAGGTGATAAGTATCAAACTCAGCTTAAGAAAGAAAATACAGATTTACATCTGATCAACTATGACTGTTTTAGCGACCTCCCTCAGGCACTGCATACAGTAATAGCAGATGGAAGAATGATCATTTGTGGAGATTTGAACATCTGCACCTAAAGCTGTGGCTACGATCACATGGATAAGAGAGGAGAGACTTGTAGGACTGGCAAGATCAGAAAAGATTCATCTTAATGAATAAGCCAACCAACCCACCAGCCTTCTACTCAAGAGCATGGCATACCGCCTCGACACCAGACCTGGCCTTTCGCTCACCAAACATTTAACTGAATACCACTAGAACTGTCAGGAAACAACTAGAAAGCAGTGACCACTCGCCAGTCTTTTTAACAGTAGAAAACTAGTCCGTAAGAGAGAACAGCATTTTGCCAAGAAAGGATTATAAGAAGGCAGACTGGAAATTGTATCAGCTCTGCAAAAAATGTTTTGGTTAAAAATCTGAACATGTAATCGAAGACAGATATATACTGCAGGCAGCAATAATAACAAGAGGTAAACGTAAACAATATAAACCATACTGATATTGTGATCTAGAGCAACTTTACAATTATATGGAAACAGAAAGAAAGTAAGCTGAGCCCAGACCATGCCAAAAGCAGTTCAACAAATACCAACATGCAAAGGCCAAATTTCAAAGAGCCAAGACGCAGGCTAGATGGACAAGCTGGCAGGAAAAAACAAAGTCTCTAACTTTGAAAGAGACAGAAGGAAGTTGTGAAGGTTAGTAAAACAAAGTAATGATGGGAGAAAGGTAAATATTGCACTATGCAAAGAAGAAGCCATCCTTA